AAAAAAAAAAAAAAAAAAAAGAGTGTATGGAGGAAGAAAGTGTCCTCACTGAATAGTTTTCCTCTTGTCTACATGGGTCTGGTTAAGACAGATGGGGATAAGAGTCTTATGATTCAATAGTGAGTAACTGTTATCACGACTAATTGAGACTGTCACAATTGTAAAGGTAGAAATTTTGTAACAAAAACAGGGATGTAGTTTATCTTACAGTCCAGAAACAAAGGACCCTAAGACCATCAAGGAAGAAGAGCACAAGTGGAGTGTGAGATCTTATCCAGAAAAGCAGTGATATCAGAGATGGAGGCAGAGATGGGGACACGGAGAGAGGGAGCAACTGAGGATTCTAGATTCACGGGAAGAGACGGGGTAAGAGCTGGTGGCCAGGAGGCAGACTTGCAGAATGTGCCCTTTGGTGGTGTAAATTATTATATAAGCCTCAGTGTTTAAGAAAAACAACAACAAAAGAGCTAAAGTGAATAGAGAGAAAATATTATGAACTGATGGTACATGGAGATTATAATCATTGTAATGAAACAAGGTGTATGATTTGTTGAAAGTAAAACTGAAGACATGCCCTGTCAACTTTCACTCAATCCACAATAAAAACCTTAAAAAAAAAAAAAAAATCCACACCACTGTTTGCATCAGAATAACTCCTATCAGATTATAAGTGCATTGCATAAGACTGTTAGCTACGTATCTAGGAAGAGTTTATTTGGTGAATAATACACGAATGTTGCTGTTGTTAGGTGCCATGGAGTCAGTTCCGACTCATAGTGACCCTATGTACAACAGAACGAAACCCTGCCTGGTCCTGGACTAACCTCACAATCAGTGCTGTGCCCAAGCCTATCGCTGCTACTACTGAGACAATCCATCTCGTTGGAGGTTTTCCTCTTTCTCTCCAACCCTCCACTTTATCAAAGATGATATCTTTCTCCAGCAACTGGTCCCTTCTTCTGTTAATATGTCTCATATATGAGAGACAAAGTCTGGCCATTCTAGCTTCCAAGAAGCACTCTGAAAGCACACTTTCCAATACAGATCTGATTGTTCTTTTGACAGCCCATGGTGCTTTCAATATTCTCCTCCAACACCATAACTCAAATGCATCAATTTTTCTCCAGTCTTCCTTATTCACTATCGAACTTTCGCATGCATATGAGGTTATTGAAAATACCACGGCTTGGGTCAGGCACACATCAGTTCTCAAGCTGACATCTTTGCTCTTCAACACTAAATAGCTCTTGTGCAGCAGATTTGCGTAATGCATTATGTCATTTGGTTTCTTGACTGCTGTTTCATGAGTGTTGATGGTTGATCCAAGCAAAATGAAGCCTTTGATAACTTCAGTCTTATTTTCATTTATATGAATGATTTTATTGGTACAATGGTGAGGACTTTTGTTTTCTTTACATTGAGGTGCAACCCATTTCAAAGGCTGTGGTCTTTGTTCATCATCAGCAAGTATTTAAGTCCTCTTCACTTTTAGCAAGCAAGGTTATATCATCTGCATATCGCAGGTGGTTAATAAATTTTCCTCCAATCCTGCTGCCACATTTTTCTTCATACAGTCCAGCTTCTCGGATTATTTGCTCAGCATACAGGTTGAATAAGTATGGTGAAAGAACACAACGCTGGCGCACACCTTTCTTAATTTTAAACCATTTGGTGTTCCCTTGTTATGTTTGAACAACTGCCTCTTGGTCTTCGTACAGGTTCCTCATGAGCACAATTAAGTATTCTAGAATACTCATACTTCACAACGTTGTCCAGAGTTTGTCATGATCCACACAATCTAAAGTCTTTGCATAGTCAATAAAGCACAGGTAAACATCTTTCTGGTATCCTCTGCTTTCAGCCAAGATCCATCTGACATCAGCAGTGATATCCCTCGTGTTATGTCCTCTTCTGAATCCAGCTTGAACCTCTGGAAGTTCTCTGTCAATGTAGGCTTGCAGCCATTTCTGTACTACCTTTAGTAAAAGATGACTTGCATGGGATTATCAAAGATATTGTTCAATGATTTCCGCATTCCATTGGGTCACCTCTCTTTGGAAGGGGCACAAATATGGATCTCTTCCAATCAGTTAGCAAGATAGTTGTCTTTGAAATTTCTTGGCATAGATGATTGAGTGCCTCAAGTGCTGCCTCAGTTTGTTGAAAAGGTTTCAATTTGGATTCCATCAATTCCTGGTGGCATGTTCTTTGCGAATGACTTCAATGCACCTTGGACTTCTTCCTTCAGTATCATTGGCTCTTGATCATATGCTACCTCTTGAAATGGTTAAACAGCAACCATTTCTTTTTGGTACAGTGATTCTGTGTATTCCTTCAACCTTCTTTTGATGCTTTCTGCATCAGTCAATATATGCTCAGAGAATCCTTCAATACCACAAGTCGAGCTTTGAATGTTTTATACAGTTCTCTGATGGCACCTAACAACAACAACAACTCAGCTTGAGAATGCTGAGCGTGTTTTTCCCTTTTGGTTTTCTGTTTTCTGACTCCAGGTCTTTGCATATTAATGCTAAGAAAAATTGTTGATCACACCACATTGGGTTCATGCATTTACTAGATTCATTTTTAAATGCTGTCATAAAAGCGCCCCAAAATAGACCTTTGCTTCTATGCTAACTAAATTCTCATAATTATTATAAAATATACCAACCTATATTTACACTGCTAAATTGCATATGGAGCCCTGGTGTGGTGTTGTACAATAAAGCGCTGAACCGCAAGGTTGGTTTGAACTGCAAGATCACAATTCAAACCCACCAGCCACTCCTTGGAAACCCTATACAGGGTCGCTAACAGTCAGAACTGACTCAGTGGGCACTTAACAATGACAACAACAGACAGCATACAGATCATATTTAATCAAAGCAAAACTTTTTACAACATATTTCCTAACTTTTGAATTACTAGATAAAGTAATCAGGCCACTCTTTCACCAGATAGATAATATATACATTCTGAACATAGAATTATAGAATAAAATGAGTAAATAATAAAATTACTTACTGCTCTCAAAAAGAGTATATTTTTCACATCCAGGTGCTAGTTTCTCAGTTTGTCTGCAACACTGGTAACTTCCATCTGCCCAGAATTTAGGATGATATTTAATCATAATATTATGGTTGTTCTTTATTTCTGCAATGCACAGATACAGCAATGGTTGGTAGAATCAGAGAGGCTACAAAACGCTTTCCCACATAGTTCATCATGACATAATCCTCAGATACCATGTTAATAATAGGAGAATGCTCTCACAATCACACATGACTCAGCACTGAGCAAAATCAACCTGATTTTATCTTACCTCCTTTTATAGTGAAACATTCTTGTTACTAGATGTAATTTCTGCTGGGACATTATGAAAAAATGCAAAAGTCAGCCTACAACTATTTTCCCCCTCACCCATTTAAACACTTTCCATACAAGCAATCCATCCATACCACTGACATTTTGATCAAATGCCGACTATATAAGCAATTCCTCATAAAATATGAAATCTTGCAGATCATAAAAGCCCAGTGCTTTGTCACCTTCAAATGTATGATATGTTAGATGAAAGTACAGTTTTCTTAGAAACTATATCAATGCCACAAGAAGGAACTAACTTATTAAAAAGGAAGTTACTTTAGGATTTTGCTATCACAGTAAAAGAAAGTTCTTGGAGAGACCCTTATTGAAGAGTAAAAGATTATAAATGCAATGGGTACATTTCGATATTTCTATTTTAGTTACAACAATATTATGCATAACAATTTTGTCCAGATTAATATCTCATTATATGATTTTTACCTTCTTTTAACTTCTTTACCCACCGGTCCCTGCTTTGTACACTGGGTGCAAAAATATAAAGCGTATTAGCATCATGGACAACCTAGAATAAAACAACAGATAGAATTGGTAAGAAAGAGCTACACATAGAATGTCTGTTTAACACAGAGTACCAAACCTATTGCCATCGAGTTAGTTCTGACTCAGCACAACTCTATAGGACATAGTAGAACTGTCCCAAAGGGTCACCAAGGCTGTAAATCTTCACAGAAACAGATTGCCACATCTTTTCCCAAGAAGCACCATGTGGGTTTGAACCACTGACCTTTTAATTAGCAACTAAGTGCTTTCACCATTGTGCCATCATTACTCCTTGGTACTATTGTTAAGCGCTGTCAAGTTGGTTCTGACTCAGAGAGATACTGTATAGAGTTTCTGAGGAGTGACTGGTGGGTGGGTTTCAATTGCTGACTTTGTGGTAGGCAGTCCAGTTCTTATCCTACAGTGCCACACCAAGACTTCTCTTGTTACCATTGCTATTTTGGGAAGTGCCATTGACTTGGTTTAGAATCATAGTGACTCTGTATGGAGTTTCCAAGGAGCAGTTGGTAAGTTTGACCTGGCAGTTCAAACCAACCCTGTGGTCCAGTGCTTATCCTAAAGCACCACACATTGTTGTTGTTGGGTACTGTCAAATCGATATCAACACATAGTGACCCTGTGCACAAAAGAACAAAACACTGCCTGGTCCTGGGCCAACCTCACAATCATTGCTATGTTTGAGCCCACTGGTGCTGCCACTGTGCCATTCATTCTCATTGGAGGGGGGAGGGGATCTTCCTCTTTTTCTCCTACCCTCCACATTACTGAACATGATATCCTTTTACAGAGTCTGGTCTCTGCTAACAGTATGTCCAAAGTATGAGCGACAAAGTCTGACCATTCTGGCTTCCAAGGAGCATTCAGGCTGTACTTCATCCAATATAGATTGATTTGTTCTTTTGGTAATCCATGGTACTTTTAATATTCTCCAACACCATAACCAAATGCATCAACTCTTCTATGGTCTTCCTTATTCACTGACCAACTTTCACATGCATATGTTGTTGTCAGGTACCACTGACCTTGCAGTTCAAACGACTTTGCAGTCCGACGCATTATCTCACAGCTAAGTTTATTAAATAAATCCTGAAGAAGGGCTGATATACTTGGACTGTGGTGTTGGAAAAGTATACTGAGGACAGACAAAAGAATGAATAAATCAGTCTTAGAAGAAATACAATCAGAATACCTACCTCTTAAAAGCAAAGATGGAGAGACTTGCTTACTTTATATATATCATCAGGAAAGACCCAGTGCTAGGCCCAGACCGGGGCATTATGTTTTATAAAATACAAAGCCAATGCAGATAAGGAAAGCCTCAATGAGATGGATTGACACAGTAGCCAGAACAATGGACTCAAACATACCAATAATCATGAAAATGGCACAGGGCCAAATAATGTTTCATAATCATATGATTAATAATAAAAATATTAAGACTGTATTTGTCAACCAGGTATTAACTCTTAAAGAGGCACTAGGCTTAAAAGTGTGGCCTCTGAAATCAGAATCCCAGCTTTCTGGATTGTCAGCCCAGTGATGACAGACAGATAACAGACTACATTGGCATATTGCCTAGCTGCTTGGGGCATCTGTATTTCTACAAAACTTGAAACATACCATCCTTAAATGCAAATCCTAAATCTCTAAGTTTGGCATCTCAGGCTGTTAGGCAGGTTATTACAAGAGATATCAGGGACTGGTATTCTTCCCTCAGCAAACCCAGATCACACCATGTAGGTACTTTCCACACCATCCACATGTAGAGGAGACTGTGACAGGGTGAATCAGAGGAGCCTCATTTCTCGTGTGCCTCCAGTCTTCTGATGAGTCACCCTATCACAGCAGAAGCTGTCAAGGGAGAGAACTTTACATAGATGCCATTTCAACAAGGAGGAAATACTCTCCCTGAATAATGCTATGAACTCATAGCTACCCTCACTCCTACTTATATCTTCAATTAGAGGAGAAATCGCAGATATTATATTTGGGTTTATCTTGAAAAAGAACCACCAACTCCCAGGAAATCCCCGAATGCCATCAGCATTGACTCATCTAAGGAGGCAACAAAGAGGTGGTCCACTACGCAGCTGGTTCCTCTTCCTTTTCTCTAACCCTTCTATGAGGTGATGAGTCATCTGGCAAAACGCAATTTGGCCTTTGGTCTCGATTCCTGAGAGTTGGACCACACCTGAGGCTAATGAGTGGGTCCTGACCAGATCAGGAGGGAATACTTGGGAGGCCCAATATTAAGTCTTAGAAGGCATGATATCATCTATCATGGCTATGTGGGGAGGCTGCTAGGAGCCTGGAACACTAAGGCTCAGATGGTGACTGTGCATGAGAAAGGGCAGTGCATCCCTCTTTGATTCATGGAAGCATTGAGCTGGAACCCCCTCCTAGGCCTCACCCTATGCATCTCTTCATTTATATTCTTCTGTTTGTAATAAAGATGTAGTCCTCAGTATGCTATACTCTGAATTTCTGAGTCAATGTAGTAGATTATCAGTGACAGCCCTCACGGGCTGGCATTTGCCTATTTGGCAGTTTCAAAGAAGGTATCCTTCTAACTTGAAAGCTGTGGCCTAGCTCTGTGTGGTGAGACTCAGTGCCACTTGCGCTGCTGGTACTGAGGAGCAACTGGAAGGTGAGGACTGGACCCAACCTCATAATCTGAGGACTGGATTCTTGCTTATCCTTCTTGGGCAGTTAGCAATAAAAGTGGAATTTACTCACTTGCCCCTTGCTTAGTGCACCTCCTAACCAGTTTCCATAGAGTCAATTCAGATCTTTAAAGACCTCATGAGTGTCAAAGTAGAACAGTACTCCATGCACAACATTTGTAATGGCTGAGTTTGGGGAGGAAGATTGTCAGGTATTTCTTCCAAGGCATCTCTGGGTGGATTTGAATCTCCAATCTTTTGATTAGCAACCCAGTATGTTTGCATCACCTAGAAACTCCTACTCCTTCCTGTTGTTGTTGTTGTTGTTAAGTGTCATCAAGTTGGTTCCAACTCATAGCAACCCTGTATATGGTTTTCAAAGCTGTAAATCTTTGGGAGAACAGAAAGCCTCATCTTTCTCCCATGGAGTGCTGGTAGGCTTGAACTGTTGACCTTGTGGTTTGCATCCCTTATCCTGCAGATCCATCATGTTCACGTGCTATGGAGCTGGTTCCTACTCATAGCTGCCCTGTATAGTTTCTGAGGAGCATCTGGTGGGTTTGAATCTCCAACTTTGTGCTTACCCGATAGGTGCCACACCAGGACTCCTTTTTCTTCTTAGAGGCTAGAACATGCTAGAAGTGGAAGAAACCTCCTTTTAGCTAGCATTTGGTATCTATGGACATTCTGCTGTTTTAATGTTTTTGCTTTTTTCCTTTTTTTTTGATCCTCTGTTCTCTTGTATTTGAACCTGATGCAAACTTTCACTGTTAAGCTGGGAAACTAGGATTGATGTTTTAGGTTATAATAAAAGATTTTTTTTCACCATTCAAATTCTACTGGTTTAAATTACTCAATTACAGTTCTTAAATTTTCAGAGAATTTTAGATTTTAAACTTATTATTCTTGACAATTATAAATGGCTAAAGAAGGGAATACTTGCTATTGTTCTAGGTTTATCCTGATTCTTAAATAAACCTTCAATATTGCAACTTGAGGCTTGAATTTTTCCTTCAGTTATTTCAGCTTGAGAAATGCCGGGGGTGTTGTGTTCTTTTGTTTTTCTAACTCCAGGTCTTTGCACATTTCATTGTAGTGGTTTGTCCTCTAGCGCTACCTTTTGAAATCTCCTGTTCAGCACTTTTACTTCATCATTTCTTCTCTCACTTTACTTTCAGATTTTCTTCTGACATCCATTTTGGTCTTTTCTTACTTCGCTGTATTTTTAATGACTCCTTGCTTTCTTAATGTATGATGTCCTTGATATTATTTTATAATTCATCTGGTCTGTGGTTAATAGTGTTCAAAGTGTCAAATATTGAGATAGTCTCTAAATTCAAGTGGGATATATTCAAGGTCATTCTTTGGTTCTTATGGATTTATTTTAATTACCCTCAGCTTCAATTTGCATGTGAGCTGACACTTGTTGTTACGTGCCATGGAGTTGGTTCTGATGCATACTGACCCTGTATAGGATTTCCGAGGCAGTATAATTTTGTGGGAGTAGAAAGCCTCGTATTTCTCCTGCAGAGCTGCTGGTGGGCTTGAACCACTGACCTTGTGGTTTGCAGTTTAATGCCATCATACAAAGTATTGCATTTCCAATGAGCTGTCACTAGTGGAAAGTAATCTAGATGCAATTTTAAATATTGAATATTTCAGTTTATTCAAGTCATCTTAATCCCCAAATTGGTACATGTTAATTTCAAATGTAGTTGATAATTTTCATAGCAGCAATTAAAAAACAATCAAAGACTCCAAGCACCTTCAGTTTTCAACATTATTCTTTCCTCCACACACCGAGACCAACAGTTGCACCTTACGTGGCTGCCACGGCCTTTTATGATCCCAGTAGGTTGTAAACCATTGTCTTTGTGGACTGTGTTATGCCAATTGACCATGGTGTCTCCTGAGACTATAGAGAAACTCATTGCTGAGATCCAGCAACTCATTGCTTGAAGGTATTTTGAAATGTCTAGGACATTCCCCCGCAACCCCCCCGCACCCCAATACTCAACAACATTCATAGGTGTGTTTGCAGCAAGGGTTAATACCCAGGTAGAAATATCCTCTGTCAAACTCTATAAACTTCTAAGTATATTTCCCCTCTCCCTCCCCATGTCTGTTCAGCCTGTGGATCTGTCCATGTACCTACCAACAGAACACTGTTGTTGCAGGGTATTTACCTCTACCCCCTTTAATCCTTGCATTTCTCCCTGTCTTCATCATTCTTCCGTTAACCTCCCTGTTCTGGTATACTGCCTTCTAGGAAGGTTTTCATTCACAAAGTGACTCTGGAAAAGACATTTAGCCTCCTTGAGCCTCGATTTCCTCAGTCATAAATGAGAATAGTATGATATTTCCCTTCCTTATGCAATAGAAGCTGTGTGGAGGGACATGTGATAACCCTTATAAAAATCCAGTGTCTAATTAATAGACAATGCTGATGCTATATTTTTCAACCCAAGCAGTCTTGCTGATTCATGTCTGTATAGGTAGCTCACACCTGCCACCTCTCAGCTTTTTAACTTCATAGAGAAAAGTTCTTCCCATGTCCTAATTCTTCTATGATATGAGAAGACTTCAAAAAGTTTACAGAAAAATGGAATTAAAGATAATGGAATCTTTCCAGAAACTTTTTAAAGTCGTCTTGAATATTAGAATAGTAGTAAACTAAGTCTCTGGTTTAGAAACTCAAGACTCCTGGTAGGACCTAACAGACCAAGACAAGAATATAATAATGTTTTAACCAAGGCCGATCAACAGTTTATGGAGAGCAGCAGTTACTATTAAAGAGGCAAACAAACCTATAAGTGTCCAAGGCAATGTCAGGAAATGGTAATGTCAAGTAGTAAGGGTAACTAAGAGCCCAGCATCACACTTGCTGAGGAAATATGCCAGCTCACCTGAAACGGGTATTTATTTTGGCAGGGAATGACAACATCATCATTCTTCACTATTTCCACACACTTGATTTTTGAAACGTCAATAAACCCTTTTCTGTATTTTTTCTGTTAAAAAGAGAAAGAAAGAGAGATCCCTTACAAACATTACAAGATACAGGGGGAAATGTTATTCACAGCAAAATTTGTTAATGAAATCACTGATTCAAAATACTGTAATTTCCTTAATAGTTATCTACAGCATGCCCCCTTAACTGTTAAAACTGCTTAAAATATTAATAGTTAATGATAATAAAATAATTAAATCCTTTAATATCTTGTAAAGATAAAACTGTTCTGCACTTTTGTCTAAAAAAAAAATTTAAATCTCTAAACCAAAAACACCCATACTCAATGGCTCCAGCTGATTCTGACTCACAGTGTCCCTGAGTACAGGGTTTCAGAGACTATAGATCTTTACAGGAGAAGACAGTCTCATCTTTTGTCTAAGGAGCAACAAGTGAGTTTGAACTGCAGACTTTGTGGTTAGCAGCCCAACACAGTGCCATGGACTACCTTCATTGATGCTTCTTCCTCTCAGACAAACACCTTTTCAAGTCTTCAACTTCTGATGACAGTTCCAAAAAATAAAGTATCAGAGACCAAACTGAAGTAAAATTCCATTTACTCAGTCACAGTCCCAACCTCCAGCTAGCTCTGTCTCCACACCCCCAAACCAGGAGATGCAGCACACAGAACTCAGGGAGATGTGAGGTAAACTTAGATTTTCATGTAAAGCCTCCGTTTAAACTCTATTATTAAATGTTCTACCTCCAACCCCCTCACTATAGATCTGCCTGGAGCAATTAACTAATGACATACAAAGCCCCTAAAATAATTTATATCCATGAACACAGTAAGCTCATTCCTGGAAATTTATTCCAGAAAAAACAATCCAAAAGAATATATAGTAGCATGAGCAAAGATAACTAGATATAACGCACCCATTAAATATTATTACAAATACAATGCAGAAATATTACAACATTACTGAATAATATGAACTAGTATATTTCAAACAAAAAGTTTGGAATTAGAACAAGTCCACGAGAGCCAAAATATAATATTGAATACATCCCACCTGAATTTGGAGATCATCTGAAGAACAGATGTGATGCATTAGACACTAAAGACCTAAGACCAGAAGAGTTGTAGGATGACATCAAGAACATCATACAGGTAGAAAATAAAAGGTCATTAAGAAAACAAGAAAGAACAGAACAAAATGGATATAAGAAGAGACTCTGAAACTTGCTCTCCAGTGCAGATATGCTACAGCAAATGGAAGAAGTGAGGAGGTACAAGAACTAAACTGAAAATTTCAAAGGTCAGCTTCCAAGAAGGCAAACTCAAATATTTATAATGAAATGTGCAAAGACCTGGAGTTAGAAATCAAAACGTGAAGAACACACTCGGAATGTCTCAAGCTGAGGGAACTGAAGAAAAACTTCAAACCTCAACGTGAAGTATTGAAGGATTCTGATTCTATGGGCAAAATATTGAATGATGCAGAAAGCAACAAAAGAAGGTGGAAGAATACACAGACTCACTGTACCAAAAAAGAAATGGTCGAATCATTTCAAGAGGTAGCATATAATCCAGAGCCAATGATCCTGAAGGAAGAAGTCCAAGGTGCATTGAAATCACTGGCAAAGAACAAGGCACCGAGAATTGATGGAATATAAATTGAAATCTCTCAACAAATTGATGCGGCACAAGAAATTTGGAAGACAACTACCTGGCCAACTGGTTGGAAGAGACCCATATCTTGGCCCATTCCAAAGAGAGGTGACCCAGGGGAATACGGAATTCATTGGACAATATCATTAGTATCCTATACAAGTAAAGTTTTACTAAAGGTAATACAGAAACAACTGCAACCATACATTGACAGAGAACTTCCAATGGTTCAAGCCAGATTCAGAAGATGATATGGAACAAAGGATATCATTGCCGAAGTCAGATGGATCTTGGCTGAAAGCAGAGAACACTAGAGAGATATTTACCTGTGCTTTATTGACTACGCAAAGGCTTTCAATTGTGTGGATCATGACAAGCTCTGGGTGACATTGAAAAGCATGAATAGTTCAGAACACTTAAATGTGCTCATGAGGAACCTGCACATAGATCAAGAGGCAGTTGTTCGAACAGAACAAGGGATGCTGAATGGTTTAAAATTAGGAAAGGTGTATGCCAGGGTTGTATTCTTTCACCATATTTATTCAATCTGTATGCTAAGCAAATCATCTGAGAAGCTGAATTATATGAAGAAAAACATGGCATCAAGATAGTTCATTAGCAACCTGTGATATGCAGATGATACAACTTTGCTTGCTGAAAGTGAAAAGGATTTAAAATGCTTACTGGTGAAGACCAAAGACCACAGACTTTGGCATGGGTTGCACCTCAGTGTAAATAAAATAAACATCCTCACCAGTGGACCAATAAATAATATCCATATAAATGGAGAAAAGACTGATATTGTCAAAGACTTCATTTTGCTCAGATCCACCATCAACCCTCATGGTGGAGTCAAAAAATCAAGTATTAGGCAAATTTGCTGCACGAGACCTCTCTAAAGTGTTGAAGAGCAAAGATGTCAATTTAAGGACTAAGGTGTGCCTTACCCAAGCCAGGGTATTTTCAATAACCGGGCAGTGTTTCATTCTGTTGTGCATAGGGTCACTATGAGTTCGTACTGATTCAATGGAACCTAACAACAACAACAAACAAAAAGTTGTATAACAACTAAAGTGTTTTTTTTTTTTTTTTTTAAATAGTCAGATGATAAAGAATAGAAAGAAAAACAATAAAATGTACATTGTTTTACTAGTCTTTGGGGTGAACCTGTTGCCTCTCTGGCCTCTGGACAGACCCTCTACCCTGTGTCCTGGGCTAAAAGGGCACAGTGGTTGTGACACAGTAATTGGTTCTTACAAACAAAAATAAATCAAATCCACTGATATCAAGTTGATTCCCATTCATTAAAACCCCATAGGACAGAGTAGAACTGCCCCACAATATGTCCAAAGCTGTTCTTCCCACACACGCAGACTGCCACATCTTTCTCCCACAGAGCAGCTCCTGGATTCAAACAGTCAACTTTTCTGTTAGCAGTAAGGAGCTTTAACCACTGCACCTATAGGGCTCTTCTCACCTGATCCTAGTCGCTGTTGAAGTTAAGTGCTGTCGAGTCAGTTCTGACTCATAGCGGCTCTGTATAGGGTTTCCGAGAAACAGCTGGTGAGTTTGAACCACTAACCCTGTGGTTCACAGTCCAGTGCTGATCCAGGTGGGAAGCTAGGAGTCCCACCTGACCCTTAGCAAGCATTATTTCACTCTTTGCTCAAAAGATCTCTGTATGGTATGTATTATTCTCCTCATTTTACGGGTGAGGAAACTGCATCTCAGACAAGCTAAAACTATCCCCAAGGACCTCAACCAATCACAATACCCACTATTGTTTTTGTTGTTAACTGCTATAGAGTGGGTTCTGACCCATAGCAACCCTGTATAGGGTTTCTGAGGAGTGGCTGTTGAGCTTGAACGACAGCAGGACTCCACAAAGGCCACTAGAGCTGGGATTCCTTAGCTGCAAGGAGGTGACAGAATTAATGGAACCAAGTCAGGGGATGCAACAAACTAATGGGTACCAAGCACAGACTGAGCTTCAGTCAAGATAAGGAGAAGGGCATTCTCCCCAGTCATTCTCTTCTGTGAAATTTACTTCTGTCTACAGAACTGGTGTAGTACTGTAAGATAAGCAACCAAAAGGTCAGTAGTTCAAACCCACCTCGGAAGCCCTATAAAATATTGCTATGAGTCAGACCTGAATCAACTTAACAACATACGCATAAAAGGAGCCCTGGTATCATAGTGGGTTATGACTTGGGCTGCTAACCACGTGGTCAGCAGTTCAAATCTACCAGACAATTGGCAGGAGAAAGAAGAGATTTTCTGCTCTTGTAAATAGTGTCACTATGAGTTGGCACTGACTTGATGGCACAGCACCACCACAGACACATCCAGGCCTCTCCATCCATACCAAGAACCTCTCTCTGCCCATGATACTACCCTCTTTTCTTTCCTTCTCAAAAGGCCTTCATTTCCTTTCCGCCTACTCCTTCCTGAACCATTTTACAACCTGCCTCACACTTCACACACTTTAAAAGCTGTTCTCAACAAGAGGTCTTTTCTCAGTTATTACCTTTATGGGGCATTTGAGAGTTCTGATGCTCTCTTCTTCCCTAGTTGCCTGGTATCATACTGATTTTCCTTGTCTTCCTTCCCCTCAGTGTCTCACAAAGCAGTATCCCCTATGTGTCAGCAACTATGTGCAAGGAATATCAAAAACAAGGTAAGAGAAGCTCACTTGCTGAGCATATGTTGTTATTGTTAGGTACCATCGAGTCAGTACCAACTCATAGCGACCCTATGTACAATAGAATGAAACACTGCCTGGTCCTGGGCCAACCTCACAATTGTTGCCATGCTTGAGCCCATTGATGCTTCCACTTGGCCAATCCACCTCACTGGGGGTCTTCCTCTTTTTCTCTGACCCTCCACCTTACCAAACATGATATCCTTCTCCAGCGACTGGTCCCTCCTGACAATATGTCCAAAGTATGAGAGACGAAGTCTGGCCATCCTGGCCTCCAAGGAGCACTCTGGCTGCACTTCTTCTAATACAGATCTGTTGGTTCTTTTGGCAGCCCATGGCACTTTCAATATTCTCCTCCAATACCATAACTCAAAAGCATTAATTCTTCTATGGTCTTCTTTATTCACTGTACAGCTTTCGCATGCATATGAGGTTACTGAAAATACCATGGCTTGGGTCAGGCGCACCTTAGTCCTCAAGCTGACATCTTTGCTCTTCAACACTTTAAGAAGGTCTTGTGCAGCAGATTAGCCCAATGCAATAAGTCGTCTGATTTCTTGACTGCTGCTTCCATAAGTGCTGATAGTTGATCCAAGAAGAATGAAGTCTTTGACAACTTCAATCTTTTCTCCCTTGATAAGAATGTTGTTTATTGGTCCAGTGGTGAGGATTTTTGTTTTCTTTACAT